CAGCCGATCGAGCCGAGGGTGGCGGCGGGTTTGGCAGCGGGCGAGGAACTGGCCAGGCGCACGACGATGCCGGCGCCCTAGGTGGCTCCAGCCTGGAGAGCGCCGTAGTTGAAGGCCACGTTGAAGGCGTTGGCGGTCGAGCCCTGCCTGCTCAGCTCCCAGAACTGGGTGATCGAGGCGCCGGCCTCAGCCAGGGTGAAGGTCGCCACGCCGCCGTTGAGCGCGCGCTGGCCATTGTTGGTGAGCGTCAGGTCGAAGATCTGGAACGTGGCGCCGGCGTCGACCCACACACCACCGGCCGCGGCCAAGCAGGCGACGAGGGTCACGGTCGCGCTGCATCCGTTGGTTGGGCTGGGCTGCGGCGTGGCGACCACGGAGGGCGACGGGGCGGCAGGCGAGGCGCTGGGGCTGGGGGAGGGCGAAGCTGAGGGGGAGGGGGTGACGGCGCCGCAGTTGATGGAGGCGACGTCAATGGAGGCCTGCAACGCGTTCTCGATGATGTAGCCGTATAGCGAGTGACTGAGTGGATGTTGGACAGTAGAATAGGAGAGATGGTGTTGTATTGTAAGAGTGAGACAAATAAACACTTTGAGTGTTACAGATATTTATATGTGTGTGTGAGTGTAGCCGAGGCTATACCACTTGTCATGGAGACAGTGGCCATAGCTACGGACCATTTATATGGATATGTTGCCATGGACTCGGCCACGGCAACTCAACACCATGGTGACGTTGGTCACCAAGGTGGTGTATCGACTTGTCATCAATACGGCCCCACAAGTGGTGTAGGCTCATGACAGGGATCAGCCTTGTAGGTTGGTGAGTCCCTTGAGCTCTTCAAGCTTGGGCCTGGGGAGAGCCTTTGTCAGCATGTCTGTGATCATCTGCCCAGTCAGGCAGTGGACCAGCATGATCATCTTGGCAACAACAGCCTCATGTAGGTGGGCCACCTTGATGTTGATGTGCTTGGTCTGAGGGTGGAAGGCCTGTTGGTTGGCCTGGGCGAGTGAGATGGCGCTCTGATTGTCACTCTTGATGATTGTTGGCAATGTGCTGTTGAGGCTGAGGGGAGTCAGCAGCTTATGCATGTAGAGCATATGCTTGACAGTTTTGGACAGCATGTTGTATTCAGCCTCACATGATGACAGTGTGCAGTCAACTGCGATCTGGAAGACCATGTGAAGGGACCGCCACAGAGGAAGAACATGAACCCAGTCACCAAGCGACAGTCAACCAGGTTGCCACCCCAGTCAGAGTCACAAAAGGTGGTGGGGCTGAGTAGATGGGGGTTGCAAATGGCTGTGCAGCTGTAGATGATTGAGAGTGACCTCATGGCCTTGAGGTAGTGAATGACATGCTTGACAGCCATCCAATGGGTCTCATCATAGCCATTCATGAACTTGCTGAGGTAGGCCACAGCAAACACAATGTCAGGCCATGTGGCCTGTGACAGATACATGAGGCTGCCCATGGCTTGATGGTAGGGGAGGGCAGTGTGCTTGCGGCTGGTGGCCTTGAGCTTGGCAAGGGACAGACCAGCTGTCATCAGGGTGTACTGCAGCTTGCAGTTGCCAAGGCTGTAGCATGACAGGATGGCGTCCACATGTCCAGTCTGGTGAAGAGCAGCAGTGCCCCATTGGCGGTCATAGATGACCTCAATGCCAAGGACCAACTTAGCCTTGCCAAGGTTGGTCATGTCAAATTTAGCGCTCAGCATGTCTTTGGTGCACTGGAGCATGCTGTTACTGGGCACAATGGTGCAATTGTCAACATACAGCAAGATGAAGGCCACAGTGGCCCTGACATGGCAGACATAGATGCAAGGGTCAGTGGCTGTGGGCATGAAGCCAGTGCTGGCGGAGATGCTGATTGATCTCCTGGTTCCAGATGTGTGGCGCCTGCTTGAGCCTGTAGAGGCTCTTCAGCAGGAGGCACACCTTGTTGGGGTGCTTGGCTGACACAAAGCCTTCAGGCTGCTTGACGTAGATCTTTTCTACAAGGCACACATGCAGAAACGTGGACTTGACGTCCATGGCATGGACACATAGGCCAAGGGCGACAGCGATGGCGAGCAGGAGATGTAGGTTCTCCAGTTGCATGACAGGAGCATAGGTCTCATCAAAGTCAATCCCAAAGATCTGGGAGTAGCCTTTGACAACCCACCTGGCCTTCTCACAGTCATCAAGACCACTGGCAAGTAGCTTCAGCTTGAACAGCCACCTCACATCAATGGCGCGCCATCCTGTGGGTAGGTTGATGAGCAGGTAGGTCTGATTGCAGATGATTGAGGCGTACTCAGCCTTCATTGCAGTCGATCCACTGGTTGGTGTCCTTGGAGGCGATGGCCTCAGTGTAGGAGTTGGGTGTGATGCATGCAGTGTCTGTGGCTGTGACCACAGTGTGGTGGTGGCAGTCATTCACCACCCATTTGTCATGGTTGAGGATGGCAGAGTTGGGCTTGGCCACTCAACCAGACTGACACAGTGGTTCAGTCATCATTGTGACCTTGTTCTGCTTCCTCATGGAGGGCTTTGCCAGTTTGCGCTGTGGCTCAGGCTCCAGTGGTAGTGGCTGGTCAGTGTCAAGGGTGGGCTCAGGGTCTGGCGTAGGTCCGATGATGTCTTGGTCGTGTTGGTGCCCAGCCAGCCCACTGGCCTTGTGGCCATGGAGGTTGTCATTGTCATCATCATCCAGACTGAGCCACTCCCCCAGGATGTTGTTTGGGGAGGTAGGTGGACTCAGGGCGTCCTCATTGTCTTCCAGCACAGTGAAGTCATCACCCTCTGTGTGGGTGGTGTTGAGCAGCTCAGGCTTGTTGTTGTTCACCTCCTCATCCACCAGTGGTGTGATGGTGGTGGTCTTCAGCTTGGGGATCCAAAGGGTGGCAAGCAGGTTGCATGGTGCTGCTGCAGGGGGAGCACAGAAGATGACGTCATGTGATTCAGTGATGGTGCCACTGGAGTGAACCCACAGGCGATGGTGGGTGCCATTGCCCAACAGGCCAAGGTAGACGGCCTCACATGAGCAGTCTTGGAGCTTGTTGCACATCTGCACAGGCGTGAGGATGTAGGTGCAGCAGCCAAACAGCTGCAGCTTCAAGATGTCAGGCGCGCGCCTGTGGAGAAGCTGGAAGGGGTCCTTGTTGTCAATGGACCTGGATGGCATGCAGTTGTTGATGTAGACCACAGTGTTGAGGGCTTCAGCCCAGAACCAGTTCACCAGGCCAGCATCCAACAACATGGAGCGCACCATGTTCATGACAGTGCAGTTGTACCACTCAGCAACACCATTGTGCTCAGGTGAGTAGGTTGGTGCAGTGACATGCTGGATGCCACAACACACCATCCACTCCTGCATGACATCACCAATGTACTCACCGCCATGGTCCAATTTGAGGACATGTACACGGCCATGAATCTTGTGCACAGCAATGAACGCCTGGAGCTTGCTCAGCACCTCACTCTTGTGGCACATGAGGTGCACCTGAGCATATCTGGTGCAGTCATCAATGAAAGTGACAAAATAGAGCTGCCAGGAGAACGACTCAACTGGCATGGGCCCGCACACATCAGAGTGGATGGTATGCTGCCCTGGTGCTCTGCATGCCACTGACACCGTCCCCCACACCTGTCATGCACCAACAGTCACTGGTCACCACAGTAAAGACCACCACACTGAACCAGCTACACCATCAGCTGGGACACATCAGTGAGCAATGCCTTCACCTCATGGCCAGAGCACACAACCTCAGCCTGCCACGCAGCGACACTCTCAAGCAGTGCATCCCATGCATCAAAGGCACGCAGTCAAGGCCCACCATCAGTAAGGGGCCAGTCACCAAGCATGGCTTCATCGCCATCCAGGACCACTGTGGGTGCACCATTCAACATGCAAGGTCAGGCATGGTCCTGCTTGTAGCTTCTCCAGCTGGGGTACATGCAGTACTCCAGTCAGCATGAGGGACATGTCATGTCTGTTGATGGTGGTGAAGCTGTTGATGGTGCTGGTGCTGACGGTGTTGATCATGGTGTTGTTGCTGAGAGTGACCCTGTTGACGGGCAGGGGCTTGTAGCTGTGTAACCACGCCTGGTTGCATGTCATGTGTGATGTGGCACCAGTATTGAGGAACCACACATCACACTCATCAGCTGTTGTTCGGCTGTTTGCTGACAGCGCATCCTGCGTCATGTTGCTGTGGTGGCTGCCCTTGAGGGCAGCTGGTTCGCCACGCAGGCGCTTGTGGCACTCCTTCCAGAGGTGCCTGGTGAATTGGCAGTGGTTGCATCAAACCTTCTTCTTCTGTGTGTTGCCATGGTTGCAGTGGTTGTGTTGGTCATTCTTGACTGTCTCTGAGCCTGCAGTCATCTGGACATTCCACTGTGAGTAGGTCTTGCCCTCTTGCTGCCACAAGCTGCCCAGTGTTTGCTTGATGCTCATGTTGCAATCTGTGCACAGAATCATGAGGTAAGAGAAAAGCCCTTGGTTTCTGAAGTTGCACTCATCAACATACCAGCAACTGTGTAGGCGCAAAGGGTGGCAAAGAGAGTGAGAAGGATGATGCTCTTCATTGTTGATGGATGAGTGGTGGTGTTTAGTGCTTGGTGTATTGCTTGTAGGTTGGGATGGGTATGATATGTTGGGGAGTGTTTTAAAGCTATCTTACAAATTGCCACTGGTAATATGCCATGAAAACTGAGTGGGTGCTCTTACAGATTCACCTGCATGACTTTGGCCACTACACACGGG